AAAAAACACAATAATGGTAAGGCGTGAGGTCAAAATACAAATGCTTTTGAAAGCGTAGAACGCTTTGTAAACGGTAAGCCCCATCAACGGTCAACATCGAACAGATGAACGCTTTAGCAAGGCTGGTCAAACCGTTGCGGTCGAGTACACCGTGCACTCTGCAGCTTCCAGTAAACAATGGACAGCTCATCGCATTACGGCATCATAGACTTCTGCGGTCTGGTGGATTAGTCCTAACAATAGCTCTTTACTTTGCAGCTCCACAGGAGGATTTAGATCAGCAGACTGTTTTAACTTCCTGATAAAACATGTGTATTGAGTAGTCGTGTTCAGGTTGCTAATAAAGTGTGAAATATCTGCGCTGATGGTTTCTAGACCAGTCTTTTCAGGTCTCGACACCCTGTAATCTTGATATTTTGTCTCCGTATCGTGACTAAAATACACACCTAACTGTATACCTGCAGAATCAAATATACTAACTCGAAATAGTATTTACCTGAATCATACATGACGTAGTGTTCTGTTCGCCAACATGTAGTTACAGATAAAACCTCTTTTTTTTGCCCGTGTACACAAGCTGGGATTCAGCATTGTGCACTCGCACGTTTTCACGTGTAGGATCGAGGAAGACACGTGTACGCGAACTACGGGCTTTCTACTTCGAGGCTGCACCTGCACTATTTAAGGATACAAGTACATGTTTTTTCTTGAAGTCAATAGTACATGTACATGCGTGCAAGTTGCAATAAGTTTTGTACGTACGATTCTTTTGTACTCTTTTGAATACTTTGTGGCTGCACAAAATTCATGTTGGAAAAACAAACATGTCAGGTTTTATACTAATCTCTGGTGTTTGACTTTACCTTTTAAACTTTAATGCACAGTGAATTAAAACAATAAACACAATTTAATCTAGTGCTGCAGGCGAACCACCGAACCGAGGCAAAAATCATCAAACAAGGCACTTTCGAACTGAACCAAACTGTTCGGTTCGGATGTACGGCTTTAATAAGACATTTCATTAACGGCACGCGGAAATACATAAAAAAAAAACGTAATAAAAAACAAACAACGAAAAATGGAAAACGAGTTGTTAAGCGTGCTCCACACGTGCGTGAACATACTGAAACTAACAGTGGCCCGCATCATGAGATGGTTGTAAAAAGCATACGGTTAGAATCACTCAGAAATCAACCAAGAACACGCAACGTAAGGCATTGTCACTGCAAAACATTTCTAAATTCTCACTACATCTAATCGTGCTCATGTATAATTCAGATTTATTGTTTTATTTGCCAATTCCGATAGCTACGCCCTTACATTCCATATGAGGGTAATGACGTCCATATTAGGCCAATGGTCTCATAAATGAAGTGCAAAATGAATTTTGGTTGGATGCTGATCACAGTCGGACTCGCGCTCGATCCGAGGCATCCCTGGATGAAAATTTTGCCAAGAGGTTCGGTTTATGCTGTGTTTCAGCACAGCCCGCGAGGAGATTTTTGTTCGCGCGGTGGCCTAACTTGCCTTTCATTTGACATGAAGGGTCTGATTGTAATGCAAACGCGTTGTAATGGAATTTCACCAGATCTTAAATAACAAAATACTGTTATCCCTCCAAAAGAGGTTGATGGAAAATCACCCCTTTGGTCTCCTGCACACCATCCTTGGAAAGATTAATTCCTCCTGAGATATGCAACAAAAGCCATTTTCGTAGTTGAATCTATTTTGCAAAAATAACCAAAACACAATTCGCTCGATCTTGTATTCTGTACTGAATTGGAAAATCCTAATTGAGCATGATGCTGTTTTTTCTATTTGCACATATCTTAAAATCGTTTTGTTGAGTCAAGCGTGGTTCGAACACAACCGCTTCTGGTCGGCAAACACGGTCAGAAAATGTCACACCTCTGGCAGTAACTTTATATGGAATGTACTCGTAGACAAACTCTGGGGAAACAGTTTAGAAACAAAAAGTATTCAAATCAAAGTTGCTCATGGATGGGAGAGATAGGAGATTCATCATTTTATACACAGAAATACTATATCGGCCTTTGCAGCACGATCGTAGCGAGCCTTTCGATGTCTCAGTGTGCATTGTACGTGTACATGTGTGTACATGTCCGAACCCCAACCAATCCAAACTTCGGCAAAAAATGTCCAAGCCCTGTCTGAACCGAACCGAACCTTGACACATACTTGCAGCACTATTTGATGTGGAGTTTGACTTTTTTATTACTTTAAAAAAAAGTTACACGTGACTGAAGTTCAAAATAAATTCATATTGTGTCTATGTGGATATTTCCTTTCAGAGAAGATAGATTAGGCGGTAAAATGAGGCAACCGTGTTTGGCACGTCCCGTCACTCCCATATAAACGTATTTATTTTCCAGTCTAAAAAATGTTTGAAGACGAACAACGATCTTGTGGAGATGTCTTTTTGTCATGAAATACCCACTCAAAATGTTTCTGAAGCTACAGAAATGTCTGTAGCCTAGAATGCAGTTGATTTTACATCTCTATCACAAGGTGTTAACCACTAATCCTCATGGCCAGCCCAAGAAGGCTGACCGGGGCCAGTGAAGTTCTCCCTGAATAGGATCTTTTGTTCACAACCATGGCTGTGCAGGCCACAAACTCCATTGTTGTCAGAGTTGCTCGTGAAGCTAGACAGTCCAGGGCAGACGGTTCTTTTCAAACCGTTGAACTGTTCAACACCAAAAGACGAACGGAATGAAGGGGGATTAACACCAACCGTTGAACTCTTTCTAAACCGTCTGTATTTTGACCTCACGCCTAAGCTCAGGTGTCTTTACATTTTGAAAGAGATCACTTATAAAATCCTGAAATCAGGAAAAAATCCTGTCAAATCTCACCCCTGAGCCTTGCTGTGTGCTTCTGTGCCATGCTTTGTGATTCCAACAGGTGCTATATGGTGTCAGCAACAAGACATTCACTGGTACTGCAGGCAGAGAAGTAGATGAGTCAGGATACTCACTCATGCCACACTATAGTCAGGCATCAATGCTGTGGATGTAATAAGAAATTCATTACCTACATGTACTAATGCAATGTACGTGTACGTATCGGCTGCACCATGAAGTGACACATACGACAGTTTTGGTACGCCACAAGGTGACATACCTTTTCAACTTTGTTCACACAATACATCAGTTCTTGATGCAAAGGACACCATGCATGATAACAAGATTGGTGGGACTTTACAGATGACCTCGTTGTAACAGAGACCTTGTATTATTGGAAAACAGAGAAAGCAAAGATGAAGGGAAACCTAACACTTTTCTTGCTATATTAATTTAAAGCAAGATATGTTGGATTTTAAAAATCAATGTTTGACAACATGTACATCCAACTGAGTTCAATTTGACTCAGTGACTCTGAATTGAAAGGTTAATGTTGCTGTGTTGCACCTTAGAAAACATTTTGAAGTGCTGTTTGCCTTTTCTGAAGAGTGTACCATTCAACGGTAATTGGCCAAGAGCCATGTACTCTGAAAAAAAATCAAGAGCAAACTCGAAGAGAAATTGTTAACCTTAGAGTAGTGGAAGAGGATCCAGCGAGGACAGCAGGTACCAGACACATCAAAGAGGAATCTCCAGCTCTACGTGTACAGGTTTGTCTCAATCAAAGGATGGTGACGGAACGCATCCTGTAGTTGGCTTTGGGGATGGGGTCTCTCTGTTGAACAAATGACAGATACTAAACGGTCAAGGGCTGGTGGAGAAATGCCTCAAGGGTGAAGTGCACTAATCCAAGCTCTATTGGAAACAGTACGAAGCTAACAAAGGGTGAAATGAACTCATCCAACCCCATAAAGTTCAGGGCTGAATAACATGCAAGCTATCATTACTGGTGTTCCTTTCACAATTAATTGATTGCCTTGTCTCAGGTCTTTTCACTTC